CCTCACATGTTCAGAAGAATTACTGAGTGCATTGGCTGTATGAGGTAGAGCCTTGTTAGCTGGGTCATGCTACCATTTATGAGCATGGAGGTTATTGGGGTTGCTAGTTTGTCTTTATTTATTTCTTCTTCCAAGCATTTTTTGCTTTGACGGATTCCTTTCATGTCACTAAGGCAACTACATTTACATAGGCTCAGCAGAGCAGACTGTGACCTGCTAATTTCGGAAAGAAAATTTGATCATGTGCAAAAATATTTTTAGAAATGGGCTCTAAAATCTGTAGTGCAACAACTGAAAGAATCATAGACAAACAAAATGTTATAAAGAACTTAATTCTTAAAAGTGAGAAAGATTAAAAAAGGTGTGGTGGGCACTGCAGCATTACTTAGCTGATCTAGTAAACAGGGATATTATGTTTCATTAGAGATTTTTCTCTGTGACATTTTACCAGGCTGTCTGAATGTCTGGTACTGTAAATATATTTTTTTTATTAGTCATCAGCATAATAATAGAATGCTGAACTGTAAGGAAAATGTTTTATTTGTGGCTTCATTATGTACCATTTCCAACATTTCTGTCCAGATTTTATTCTGGACATGAGTGCTCCTTCGTTGGAGTTGGGAAGCTAGTGCAAATAGGTCTTAGAAAAAAGTTTTATCCTTGCATTTTTCCTTAGACAAGGCTAAGATCCATCTACTTTCTATTTTGTTATAATCATATTTTCTTTATGTCTCCTCTGGGGTCTGGTTTCCCCTTCATGGGTGATGGAAATGTTGTGCTGAGAGAGAAGCTCTCAGCTCTTGTGCAATGAGATCCTTGGGTGCAGTATAGAAGACGTAAGACTAAATTGGGCTGTTGCTTCTGAACGAGGCTTCCTGGAAATCCCTTGCCAAGCCTTAGGTTAGCTGGTTTATTCCTTATCCTTGCATGGCAGGTGCGATATTCTCGGGATGTGCAGATAGGGCCTGCGAGCTCCTGTGCAGGTGCTGCATGGGGCTGTCAGGAGCTGGAGCGAGTCCCGGCCGGGCTCCTCTAGCGGCTGCGCAGCTGTCAGGGCTCTTTGCGCTTTCTGGCCCTGCTCCAGAGCAGGCTGAAGTGGATGGAAAGATTCAAATGGCAGCCATCCGCAGCAGGAACGCGTGGTGGCTGCACCACGAGCAGCAGGGGAAAGCTGGCCTTGAACTGGAACTCATTTTAAATGTCTTGTAAGAATAGTTTATCACTCAGCTACTTCTTAAATAATATATTTCCTATGTTGCAATGCTAGTAATACATACTTAAACCTGAAATAGCCTTGTCAGTATGCGTTACTCATTTGTATTACAGCTATTTAAATCTCAGAGGCTGTCTACTTTTCAGCAGTGCTACTATTTTATGTTTGTTTTCTGTTTTAAAAACCTTGATCTGCTTCTAGCCAATACAATTAAAGTAGTTAACTCATTTCTATTATAACTTATGGTGACTTTACCCTCCAGGTATCTTGATTTCCTCCCTTCCATGTTGTTTCCGAGGAACCATGCTTGTTAGTCTGAAACATAATATCCTAGAGCAGTTGCAAATATCTCTTCCCTGAATACATGCACAGACCAAGCCTGAAACACCTATGCTTACACGTAGCTATAAATGTTCAAATGACCTATGCGTTTGTACATCTGAGAGTTTTTGAATGGAAAAAACATATTGAACTACTTCAGAAGAGAACGCTGTATTCTAGAATGTTATATGCAGCCTTTAGGCTTGTATACGTGAATGTTACGTACGTGGCTGTTTGCTATTTAAGTAGCCTTGGAGTGTCTTATGTCCACTACTTCCCCTAAATAAAATACTTAGGACATGTAACACCTGGTTTGGAGCCAGCTGGCTTTGGTTTGCTTCCTCTCCAAATGCTTTCATTCACAAGCAAGCAAAATGACCGTTCATAAACTACAACGCAAATGCACTATTTTATGTAAAACTTGGGCATATTTTTATTTTTTACTAAACCACAGTGAGAGTTCAGTCCAATTCCCAATACCGTCAATGCGAAGACGGCTTTTGACATAAGTGAGAGCTCAACTGGAATCTCCCTCTGTAGAGACAGCAGTGTCACGGGGAGTCCCGCTTGGTTTTGTCAGCGCTCTGGACAAAGCACCCCCTGGGAAGGTGCCCTTGCCCCAGCGCCTGGGCACATCCCACAGGGTGGGCTTCAGGGCTGCGGCCTCCGAGGAATCCAAACCCTCAATAAAATAGTTCGTCTCCCATGACCTTGTCTTGGGGGGATAGCAGGATTCACAGAATTATGGGAGCTGAAAGCTCAGGGAAAATACTTGAACCGAAGAATAACCTGAAGAAGGGAGATATTGGAAGCTAAAATCTTTGAGGAATTAATGCTGAGCTGAATAAGCATCTGAGAAGGCACAGTCTGATTTGCTCACAGCATAAAGCTCTCTGCTGAAAGTACAATATGGCTAAGTGACAGGAACAGAGGTATCCACCAGCTAGAAAAGAGCCCATCCTTTCACTGTAGGCTATGTGTATATAGTCATATGCAAAATGGTCCCTGGTGTGGTTCACTCTTTGGTCCTCTCAGAAGCAGATTATAAAATTCTGATTCTGCCTGTGGTCAGAATTGATGTCTTAGCAGAGTGTCTGCTAGGTCAGTTTTTAAGTACTGAGCCCTTGCCTATGTACAGAAGTGCCCTTTGATATTGCAAATGCAAATGGATACTGTTCATTCCAGTCTGAGCAGAGAGCTTGGAGCTGTTCTTACTGCCTGCCATATATTTTCTCGATGCAATTTTTGTGCTCGTTGTCTTTTTTACCTTCATTTACCTTGTGGTTTTTTTTTTTTTTTTTTTTTAACCTTTGTTGCATTAAACCCACTTTTATTTCCTGCTGTGTAGGGTCAGAAGCCCCTGCGTTGCATTTCATGGCATGGTGACTTTCCTACTGTGTTGCTCTCACTATTCTGATCAAGTATTGTGATATTAGGTCCCTACCATAGGATGTTAATAAGTAGTCCAAAAGCCCCATGTCTGAAAGGGTTTCTTCAGAACAAACTTGCATCCAAAACCTTGTCAAATTTCTGATTGCCTTTTTTTTTTTTTTATTTCACTCATTGCCTCTTAGAATTACTTGAAGGTTGCTACAACTGACACCAAAGGATAATAATCCCTCAGGCTAGGGAAGCATGGGAGGTTGGATTTAAGGCTTTTGGTTAATGTCTGTTCATCTGTTCACACTGCCTTAAAAACAGAGGTGTGTTAAATTTGCAAATGAGCACAAACATCAGTTTTTTAAAAGAACAGATTATTTATCTTTTCTTAAATGATATTAGATGAATTTTCTATAACCCACTGTAAAAATTACCCAATTTGAGAGCGCTAACGTAAAGAATAGGCTCAAACTTGCATAAGAAACTTGCAGGAGTTAACTTTCATTTTTCATGTTTCTCATCTGACAGATGTCATGAAAGGCTTTAAAAATATGTTCTGTGAATGCTTTTAGTGAGGAAATGTTCAATTCTAGCCCAGGCTTGTTTCAGCACTTAGTATGATCACCTTGAGATGGAGATCTTACATCACTCTTTCATTCAGCATTTCAAAACCTCAGGTCTGCACCAGAGCACAGCTAGCAGTGAGAGACGGTTTCCTCAGGGAGGGATGTTCTTCCTGAGTGGCTAAATTGAACTTTCTTTCCAGGACTGTTATGGAGTTGCCCGCAGTTCTGTATTTCAAGTCTGTTGAGGGTGGGAGGGAGGAGGTGAAACTCTCTAAACTCATGTGTTTGACTTCCATCTAGTGTTGTGGTAGGTATTTTATTTGGAATTAAGTTACTGACTTAGAGACTTCAGATTTACATGAATATTATAATTACCCTGAAATAACTAGTACCAGTATAGTATATTGAGAATTAAATTTAAATCAGTATCTACTGATGCTTAAAAATGCAATAAACAGTGCCTCCCTTCAGCCTAAGCTGTGCCCTGGAGAGATGCTGCTTCTTGGTATCCTTCTTTGTTCATTGGTCGTTTTGTGCAGGTCCTGCCCTGTGGAATTGGGCACGTATCTACCTATGTACCACCTATCTCCTGCCATGATGGGAGATGCCCGTGGGGTCAAGGACACCCAGTGGGTGTGTTTGGGTGCGTAGGCGAGGAATTAAGAGCAGACCACTGTCTCTGGAGCTAGAGCACTTGAGTATGGCAAGCTTTTATTTTTTATGGAAGTAGTCAATAGAAGAAAAAGTATGCGTGCTGTATTATTTCTTTACCAGCCAAAATCTAGCATCAGTTGCCCTAAATGTAACAGATGAAACTTTGAGGCTTGCATGGATAGGACTGTACAGAGTATGCTATGTAAAGTGATTTTTTTTTTTTAGTTGAAATTCTCAGCTGAACAGTTTTTAAATATGTCTGTATGGTAAGTTTTCAGAAATACAGATTTTAATGTCCCTTTGAACATTTCTTACTGTCTTTACATGTCTGCTTCTAATTTAAAAAGCCACATTCTCTAGTCATGTAGTTGCTCTGATTTCAGTTGCTCAGGGACTATAGCTTGTTTGTGGTGGAAATGGGCAAAAATCCCAAAGTGAATGTGTCTTGTTTTTCTTATGGTGGTGAGGTATTTGGGCAAGCAGGCTAGCCAAGACACAAATTCTAATTATTGGTAATAATCAATATTGATAATGATTCAATGTCTAAGAACATAATCTAGTTTTGTGAACTTTGGTAACCCTAAAAAACAGTCAGCATCTTGCAGAATAGTGCCAACATCTGTAGATTCACCTGTCCTCTACGTATTTATAAACCATTTTTTTAATGATCGGTGATTCTGAAATAAGCTAGTTATAGAGAAGCATCATTTAAGCAAATTTTGCAATTTATTTTCAGCCAAACTCTTGTGATAAATGTAATGAAATGAGAGCATTTAAACTAAGTAAAATCTTCAACTGACTAGTTCCCTCTCTCTTCTCTTTATTTTTATTATTTTTATTTTTATTTTTTTTCCTTTTTTAAACAGGGTGGAAAGAAGTCCTACAGTGGGCCTTGTGGAGGCCGGGATTGCAGTGCTGGATGCAAATGTCTTCCAGAGAAGGGGGCACGGGTAAGTTGACTTTCATTAATACAGCAGTCCTTATGTATCTTTTCAATCTTTTTTTTTTCTCTTTTTTAAAAAAGAAAGAAAGAAAAGTGAGTATATGCAAATATCAATCTAATCATCGCATGAAGCAAGAGAAGTGATGAGGACCAGCTGCACCGCAAATATCCCTGGCCAGGATCTCAAAAGCTGTTCTGAAGGTTTACAAATGGCTATCTTTGCAACAAGATGGTAATGGAATCACATTTCTTTATGTGATCTAAGCCCTGGTTCAAAATCAGATTTTTTTAAGTAGCTGATGACAATTAAAAAGAAAAACCAAAGTTGTGTGGGCTTACAGGTTTCCCAATCCATACCGTAATAACTTCTTTTTTTGTGAAAGTGTTTTTGACTTTAGTATTTGTTTTTGAAGAAACAATGATGTTGAATATAACTAAGCATTTCCCTTCAAGAAAGGCTTTTGTTTAGCTGAAGTCCCTCTCTCTGAAGTCTGGGCTTGAAGGGATTTTCAGTTTTAAGAATAAATTCTATAAAACTGCCCAACTTCTGTAAATGATGTCTAATTTCTTTAAATGATGTGAAAGGGCTGTGAACTTGATCTGAATACACCAGAATACTTCCTATCTTGAAATTTTGCAGATCTGTTGACCTCAGCTTAATACAGATGTCCTCATAAATATTTTATCATGTATCAAAATGAATCTGATAGATTTTGATGAAGGAGATGGAGAGGAAAAAGCTGCATTATAGGTATTTGAAAAATTAATTTGGAAGGTCTTACAACACCTCAAATTAATACTAGTTGTCTTTGTTAATGATAATAAAGCAATTATTCAAGCTGAAATCACATTAACAGGCATTCAATTTGTGATGCAGAAAAAATATCATTGAGGAAATGATTGAGAAAGGAGAAATTACATTTTACTTGAACATTATTAATCCCGTTTTTTCCAGGTATAGTTCAGCGATACAGTGTGGCTATATTCAAAACATTGCTCAAATGATCATGGCCAATTTTATTTCTAGGATTCAACACAGGAAAATGCTGCTATTTAAAAATGGCCTTAAGCATGTATTTAAATGCTTTCCTAATTGCAGGCAGACTTGAACGTGAATTCTTAATTGATAACTGATGATGCGTTTTCTCTGGAAGTATACAGATTCTTTTAAACTGTGTGGCACAGTGAAAACATGTCTGAACAGATGAGTGGAGAACTTTTGAAAGTGAATTCTCAACATAAGCTAAAATGCGAGATAAACCCAATTGCTCAACACCTTACGCGATCAGATACGGTGAGGCGCAGCCTTGGACTGGAATATCCTGTAAATGCTTTGACCTTTGGCTAGCAGCGAGCATCATCCTTCTGTCTCTTTACATTCCCAGGGTTCGACTTGATTGTTTGAACTGGCCGCAACACTGTTGACCTTGCGGTTTGAGCTCTTGGCATCTCTTTTGTTAAGATGTCACAAAGATTTTAGGCTGTTTTCATTGCTGACCTGAGAACTCATTTGGCTTTTAGCTTGTTTCTTATGTGACCTGTATCGATAGGCATTTTCAGTACTTTAAACGTGTGTTTCATCCTACTGTGACCTGTCCATGGAGGAAACTGCCTGCTAGCAGTGGTAATCAGACCTCTTTACATCACCGCTTCTATCAAGCCATACTGAGTCCTGCTGACATCTTCTTGGACATCTGCATACAGCTCCTGGAGTTCTGCCACAGCAGAGGATGGGGAGGTGACTGGCAGAACTGGGCAAGAGGATGGTGTGATTATCTGTCCTACAGCACAGCTTGTTTCTTGTGGGAGACTGTTTAGCCTGAGGGTAATTCCTTGGCTTCCTGCCTAGGTTCTTCTCCATTGCTGCTTCAAGTTCAGAACAGGCAAATGGCAGATGAGACTGCCAACGTCCTGGATTCCTGTTTGATCAAAAAAAGTTTTGAGTCCAGAGCTGTTGCTTTTGCACAATTAACCAGTTCAGAATAAATGTTAAGTTTAAAAAAAAAAAAAAAAAAAACAATGGGCTCAGTGAAAATAGTATAGGCAGTGTCCTCAAATGTCATCTTCCTTGGCTGCACTGCGGATCAAAATCAAGTTGTGATGAGTTTATATCTGGCTAGATACAAATGTTAAAGTCCCATGCAAGAGCCAATTTCACTTCTGTCATTTGTCCCAGTGGCTTCCACTGACTCTGGAAAACCATAATGCTACCTGATACCCATTTTAAGTAGTTCAAGGAAGTAAAAAATTAATTGTGGATGCATCCTTCAACTTAGTGATTCGGGATCAGTCATGGTACTTAAGGATAAGTTAATGAAAAACCTGCCCCTAAGGAACTGAATAGTAAAAGTCCTACTCCAGGTTGCAGCCTTTCACCCCTTTTTTTTTTCTGATGCACGTTTATTGGTATCAGCCCAGTGATGTGCAAAACCTCAATTCTTGGTGCAGTGGTGTTATCCTCACACTTTCTGCAAGTTCTCTCACAGGTCAAATGAGAAGATTAAAGTGAGTTTGTGGCCCTTAGTCTTTATCCTCTTAAAGGTAAGATCTAGTTTTAAATCCCCTTAGTGTGTGCACTGGAAGTGAGGAGAGAGAAGCTAGCTAACATGTCACATGACAAGACTGAATGTTATACCAGCTGAAGCCCCCGAACTGATTTGTCTGGTTATAAGGCTAGGAATTTTGGATAGGCTTGTTGCAGTTCTCCTACGCTGCATTGTCAGAATCTTTGCCAACTTTGATATAAAATCTAACATAATGCTATGGAAGGAAAATACCAGTTAGCATCCGTCATTTTTCCTTTCTTCCTTAATACACAGAGAATGTGAAAGCCTCCGCTACAGCTGGATTATCCAGATCCAGTGCAAAGCTTCTGAATCTGTCTTTAGTCCCACTCTTTCTGCTACCTGAGATGAGCTACTGAACTAGAACAACAATGCAGTTTAAAAAGGAAGTGAAAGTGAAGATCCCCGAATGTACCCTGGTACACTCCCCTTCTGGGGAAGGCAGGCAGTCTGAACACAATTCATATTAGTTAAACTCATTTCTGCATGTGTTTTTACAGGCATTTCTCCTGTTTTACAACATCTGGTGGGTTGAAAAAGCAATTATGTTAAAATATAATGCAAGAGAAGGAAGTTGGGAAAAGCGGTTGTATTAAATTATAACGTAAGCAAGGAAATGAACATCAGTCTGATGCTAGCCTCTATCTAATGGAAGGCTGGATGTCTAACATATTCCCAGTTATTTAGGTGGGTGACTTATAGGCAGAACATTTTTGGAGTTGTCAGAAGACAATACTGTGTCTTAAAAAAAACATTTTCCCTCACCTTTCTCACTCTGATCCACAGTTTATGGACAGGTATAATATCTTTTGCAATTTGCTTGGCTGTGTTGCTAGGAAATGCACTATGGATAGGTCAACAGTAACCATGAGGACATTTTTCCCTGCTTATAATGTTTTGAGAAGCACTAAATAGCAGGAGGCCCGCAGCATTTCATACCTACAGCTCATTTTGCATCAGCTTATGGTAGTGCTGGCTTTCTTGTTTTCATATGCTGTCATCTAATTTCAAACACTTAAAAAGGTAAACTAGCGGCCACAGTGTCCATTGCCTTGTACCTTCTTCTAATACTTATTCACTTATCTTAGAAGTTATAACAATATTAAGATTTGTTTTAAACTTTACTTATCGTGTGCTGGAGCTCTCTAGCTGAGCTTGTGTCTCAGTCATCAACTTCCCTCCCTGCCTTCTTTTTCGAGGAGAAGAAGAAACCCTCTTGGATACTTGTTTACAAAATTCTCCAGATTAACCCACAGAGACTGTGTCCCAGGCACAGCCTCTTACGGTTTAGGATTGCTGGGAGAGCTTGGTGTTACGGATTGTATTTCATTTTTCCTATGATATTTGGTCATGTCAGTTTATGTATCTCATATGAATCACGTGCTCTCTAAAGCCCTTAAAGTAGATCAAATTATTTTAACTGGTTTGAATTTAAAGTTACTTACCTGGGGATATGAACTTCTAAGTGTGAGAACTGTTAATGATTTATAGAACTTCTTCCCTGACTCAGGGAAAAAAAAGCACACAGAAGGTAATTCTTCCTCAGCAACTGGTTTGTTTAAAAGGAGTGTGTCTGTACAATGAGGCACTTGTTACCGAGGCTGTAAGGCTATGTATCTATATGTAAATCTATACTAAATCTAGATGCGTTCTTTGAAGCGAAGGTCCCCTGAAGTACATTAGGTGTGCCATGGAGCTTGTTTCCTGACCTAGTCTCATCAAAAGGAAATCCAGGTCATATGCTCCAAGACTCCTCTGCAGTGTGAAGGAAAGCACAGTAGGTAAGAAGGACTGAGATTGAGAGATTTGCCTAAAACATGCACTCCTGGTCTGAGTTCAAGGCTCGCGTACATTCACCCAGCTGTGAGATTGCACAAGTTTTCTCTGAAGTTAACAATAATAGTATATATAGTAAAAGTTATCTGTGAGTAATCAGGGAATTTTTAGTGGAATCACTGCAGGTCAAAGAGATATAAAAGCTAAACAGGTCCCCAGCATCCCTGCAGCGAGCAGCATAACCTGACGTTGTGCTTTGGATGATTTAATCTAATTCTTATCTAGCATGAACTGATGTCGTACTGGCAAGAGATCTGGGATTAATGTTTGTCTGGAATTAATCCCCTCAACTTAATACAGGGTGCTCAAAGTGCCTCCTTCATAATAATTAGTTGAAGATTGGTTGACATTTGTTATAAAATTGTAATAATTACAAGCTGGATTTTAAGAGTGTTTGCTGAATTCTGTTTTGGCTCATTAAACACTGGAGCAGTTTAGGGATTTCCTGATGAACCACAATTTGTTTGGAAGCATATACTCCTCCAAAGTTTTTTTTGTTTTTTTTTCTGAGAGAAGTGTTTTGCACAAATGCATTTGCTGGTGATAGGGTTTTGTTAAGCCAGCTTCTCTTGGTTTCTGGGTCTCAGTGTAGTCCCTAGTAACCCGC